CCCTGCCTCTGACTGAGGCAGACCCCAAGCCCAGGAAGAACAGGGCTGCTGGCTCAGCTTTGCCGGCTAAGAGGAAGATCCCGGGAGAATCTCTCATTAACCCTGGCTTCAAAAGGTAAGTGCTTCTCTCAGGCCCAGTGCTGGGGCTGGGCTGCGTGGAGATCCAGTGGACTCTGCTCTGTAGCCGCGGGGGAGTGGGATGTGGGGCTTTGGGCTGTGATGCTTCCTCCATCTTCCAGCAAGAAGGCACCGTCTGGAGTGAACTTCGAGGACTCCTGAGCTGTGCTGTCCTGTCCCCCGACGACAGCCCTGCTGGAGCCTTGTCAGCCGTGCGTGTGGCGGCTGGAGGAGGTTTCGCTGCACCCTGGGCGTGCTGAGCCCCTTGTGCCCAGGGAGGCAGAGGGAGCAAGCAGGACCCAGAGGGCTGGAGCCAGCAGATCCTCAGCTGGTGTGGTGGCAGGGCCTTTGCGGGGGACAGACGGGGCAAGGGTGGTGCAAGTGGTGGTGGTTTTTCCTTGCAACTCTTCCCTGCTGGCAGGGGCCACCTCTGTGCCTCACTTGCCATGAATTGGTGGGGTTTTTAAAGATCTTTTGTACCACTGTGGAACGAAAAGATTGCCTGTGCTTAACTTATTGCCAGTAAAGCTGGGTTTAGCCAGCCGGTCTCTGGGGACCGGACAGTGTGGATTTGTCGGTTCATTCTGCCTTTCCCGTGCTGAGGAACCCTGTGGCCAATTTCAGCTGAACCTGGAGGGTCAGGGGCTCAGAGTTCACCTTCCTGCCAGCTTTGTGCCAGTGGGCTGGTGGGTGAGTGGCTGGAGCCTCACTAGCCCCCTGGAGAGCTGAGAGAATGGGCCCAGCCCTTTCTAGGCACTGGGAGAGGACTGGGAGGCCGGTGCGAAGTCCTGTGAGGGAGGAGAGCTGCTGGAGCTGCTGGGGCTGGTCACTGCAGACACTCCTCTTGCTTGCAAAGCCTTTATTGATTTCCGGGAGCTCTGGTACATGGCTTGGACTTGCCCCTCTTCACCCCCATCCCTCTCCCACATCTGCTCCTGAGAGCTTCCTAACGGTGAGTTCTGGGGGGACGGTGCCCTCTGCTCCCCTTACCCAGGGCGATGGGGGCCGGGCTGTGTCCACCACCCATGCCATCCCCCCCGGCCCTGTTCCCAGGGCTCTGCTGTGCTGTGCTGGTTCCTCTCACTGGTGCAGCTCCTCGAGGGCATCCTGCAGTGCCTGCTGCCCTGGCACAGGCCTGCCTCGGGTCACTCACCTGGCAGGTGGCACAGTGTTCCTCTAAGGGAGGCTGCAGGGTTGCCCACTGCAGGGCACTGCCCTCTGTGCCCTGCGGCTCTCTGCTTTGGGCAGCTGTTCCTCCCCAGCTCTTGCCCTTGCTTTCAGCATTGCCCAGCTTTGGTACAGTGCCTGTGGCTGTGGCCCCCTTGCACCCATCCTGATGCTGGAGGGACTGCAGGGCAGGTCGAGGGGGTCCTGGCTGGGCAGGGAGGGTGGCACAAGAAGTGAGAACATGTTTGTGGGCTCAGTGTGATGCAGATTGCTGCAGGGGTGCCAGCTGGGGGAATTTGGGTGCCAGGGGCAGAGCTCATGCTCTCTGCCTTCCTGAGTGCGTGCAGGCAGGACTGTGGTGGTCGTGGCAGGACTGAGGTGGGCGGTGGCCCGCTACCCAACCCTGGCCCTGCGCCCACCTGGGCGCATGCCCAGCTCACTGTGGCGACCGGACCACGGAGCGGTAGGCTTGTATGATCTCCTCGCTGTTGGGGCAGGTGTATTTGAACTCCTTGGTTTCGCTGGCACTGTTGAGGTAGCGTTTTTCGCAGGTCCTTGGGGATCCCAAAGTGGCGGTAGTGCTGGCACACAACCTGCGGGCAGAAACAGGGTGAGCCCTTGCCCAGCCCTGTGTGCCTGTCGTGTGCCAAGGAGCACGTGTCCCCGTGGCCAGGCAGTGGTATTCATGGGCAGGAGCCAGCCAGGAAGGGTAGCTGGGGGCCAGGGGTCATCCCTGGCACTGCACGAGATAAGGGGTGGCACCTGGCAAGGTGGCATCTGGCAGCAGATGCAGAGGGGAGTGAGATCTGTGGGAATCTGGGTAGAGGTCATGGGGATGGGGGTGCCAGGGGGGCACCGAGGTGATACAGGGGTTGGCAAAGGAGCAGGAGGTTGCTGCAGGCACCCGGGGGGAGGTGAGAGCATGGGGCCGGCAGCATTAAGAAGCCAGGGCAAGGGGAAGGGCACGGCACTGGGATGCCCACGCTCACCTGAATGATGTTGAGCTTGGGCAGCAGGTTGCAGTCAGCTAACGTGAGCTGGTCCCCGTCGAGGAAGCGGCGCTGGGATGCCCGGAGGTGGGGGTCGTGGGCCAGCTCGTACTCCAGGGGGGCACTCAGGTACTCGTCCAGCTTCAGCAGGGCCCGCAGTAGGCTCCGCTGCAGTGCTGCGGGGAGGGTGGCAGCGCCGCTGGGTCCGGGCCCAGCCCCACTGTGGGCACGTGTCCCCGCCGCC